TAATTGAAACATGTAATTAAACCCTTGGTCTGTTTGGTCATATCAGTATAGTCATAAGAACAACTGACTTTTAATACTGATTTTTCTGGGAAGGATTATTTAACTTCATTATACTGTATATTATTGCTATAAAATTGATGGGAAATACAGTTAATAAAAATCTGAGATACAGGCAATTACATTTTCTTTTTGTTGAAAATCAAGAGTTGCACATGGTGGTGCACATATTTAATTTCAGCACTCCAGAGGCAAAGGCAGGTTGTGACTTCAAGCCTAGCCTGGTTTACACCTTGAGTTACAGCGTTCCAGGCCACCCAGGGTTACATAGTGAGATCCTGCCTGAAAAAAAAAAAAAAAAAAAAGGAAAAGGAATGGAGAAAATCAGAATTATAGGGTTGTGCTCTTATTTGTTACAAAATGCAAATCTATTAGAGAAAATAAGAGCATATTAAAAAGTAAAATATAGTATTGGTTTATGTAAAATGAATAATTTTGTTGTTTGTATTACTTCAAATTTTCTTATTGTGCTAAAATACTGAAGCAGATTTAGTTTCACAAGACAGTAAAAAAACTGTATGATTTGGTGTTATGGTGTTGAGAAAACAAAATCAAGAGTCCTGTAAGTATATATTTTATGCTCAGGTGATGGAAATCTTCAATACAAATTGGTTCAAAAGATAAATTACACTTGATTAATTCTTATGTAAATGTTTTAAAATTATTGAAAAATAATCTGGAAAATGTTTTGTCTTTACATTGCAATACATTAATTTTTGAGGTTGTGGTTAGGAAAAATATTTGCCAAAAATATAGTCAAGAGAAATGAGGACTTGGAGCTGCTCAAAAAGCTTCTGCTATCCACTTCATCTTAAGACTAAATGTTGATTTTTGCAAGCATAAGACATCTATTATTCATGGAGCTCATTTAGCATATTATTCATTTGTGGAGTTCATGTAGCATCTTATCCAGGAGCCTATATTACATCTGAGCTAGTGCCTTATAGCACAAATATTGCTTTGTTTGTTGGGTGTTTATTTCTGTTGCATAACTAGAGTTTTATAATGGGTATCTTTATCGTAGTTGGGATTGTGTGCTGTATTTTTTACTGTATTCTTACAAATGTAAATAAGGTGAATAATGGCAAGCAGCATTTTAAAAATTTAACTGCAATTAAACACAAATGGAACATGAAATATAATATTAAGAATATAGACGATGATGGAGTACTTTATAATGTTATGTCTAAATTATTATATTTTGATGTGAAATTACTATTTTAAGAAAAAAATGCTGCTTTAACACTAATGCACATAAATGCTTAAAAATGAACTTCTTTATTAGGTGACATTACAAATACTGTAATTCCCCTTGACAGAGTTCACTGCTGACTCTTTTGTGTGCCCCTTGTTTCTTTCCTGGTACCTTTGGTATATACAATGTTTATTACATCATGTTGTTGCTTTGCATTTATGTTTCTCTACTTCTTGGCAGGAAATAGATCTTACATATCTTTGCTATGACGCTCCTTGGCAAGATAGATTCAAAGACAGCATTCATACAATTTTTGTTGAGTGCTAGAGTGCAAGGGTGACAGATATTAGAAAGATCCCAAATTATTAGATTTATCATTTGATCTTATTCTCTCTGTCATTAAGGCCTTCAGAGGATCCCTTAAAACAACTCCTTTCATTCTACAAACTTCTACCTAGCCACATCTTTGTTTTCACCACTTTATTTAAAACAAACAAACAAACAAACAAAAAAAACCAGCTTCTTCAGACTGTTAACCTCCACTACCTCTCCATATCCACTCCTGAATGTTTCCTTTGCCTCATTATTCCACCAAAACATCTACTACCAAGGTCACGAGGAATTTTATGTTGTTAAAATGAACATAATTCAGAGTCCTTGATTTTTCTGCTGTCTGCAGCATCGGACATGCATGATTACTCCTTGAAATGCTTTTTATACTTGCACCCAGGACTCTGTCCCACTCAGATTTTATTCTCTCCTCTTCCTAAATTCACATGCATATTTCAGAGCTAAGAAAAAAATATCATTTCTTCAATGACACACTCCTTATTCATTTTTTTTCTCTAGGTTCTTCATGGCTGGGTGTAGTGGTGTACACCTTTAAAGCCAGCATGAAGGAGGCAGAGGCAGGCAAACCTCTGTGAATTCTAGACCAGCCTGGTCTACAGAGTGAGTTCCAGGCCAGCCAAGATTACGTAGTGACACCCTGTATCTGAAAAAATGTCCTTCATGACATATCAATTATGGTCAAATAAGTATTAAATTAGTTGATTGACATGTCTTTCTTTGAGGGAAATTAAATGTAAATTTCATGAGAGTAAGGACACTTTTCTGTGGTGGTGTGATTTTCTTTACTTCTGGCATCTCCAGACTCAGAATAGTGCCTTAAACACAGCAACTACTTGGAATGTTTGTCAGCTTGTTAAGAAAACAAGGATTTTCCTTGTGCACTGGACCAAAAAGGATCCAAGGAACACGTCAGTTTTCTATTT